GAAGTAACTGAAGGGATTAAATACATGTAGTGGAGTAGAAATACACCATGTACCTCTGAACTGTAGTGGGGTAGAAGAACAAAGTAGCAAAACATTGAAATTCTTAAAGTACAAGTATCTCAAAATTGTACCCAAGTATAGTACTTGAGTTTATGAACTTAGTTACTTTACACCACTGGCTATACAGATAGAAAGACTAAGCCTTGCACAGAGGCATGAAAATACATTTACTCAACAGTGCTGCCAGAATGATAAACTGACTGCTACACAATTAAAATAAAAGCTTTTATATATTTCTATTAGATGTGACTCTTTGGCGTTTCTGTTATTATGACCTGCTGCTTTAGTTGCTCTGACTGCTAAACTCCTCTGTTATTCCTAAACCGATATTCCGTGGGGTCAGGGGTCGGGTCCTTGTCACCTTTTTCATACCTGATGACTTTGCCTCCCTGACTGCAGTTGCTTTAGCGAGTAGAAGCTAGTAAGCCTACTATTTGATTTGTTTTAGATCGGCACTACATGTTTCATATCAGACCTTATTTTCCTGTTCCATGTTCAAATAAACCATTTTCAGTGGTCATTCTTTTTGGTCATGGAAAATTAGGTAAAGGTCATTGAGAAGTCATGGAGAAGTGTATGAACCCTGTTATTCACAAAAGCCTCATGAGCCTATGTACATTACATCACATGTCACTTGTTAGACAAAAGCGACTCACATACTCAATACTGAGGGCAATCCCCACAGGAGCACTTTGGGGTGAAGGGTCTCAGCTGACTGCTGCGGGGTTTGAACCTGTGACCCCCTGATCCGAACACCAACGCTCAACCCACTGCACCACACGTACATGTTCATTGCAGCTTTTTTGATTGACTCTGTTCTTTATAGCACCAATATTTACCCCAGGCTTCTGATTGACTTCTTATCAGAGAAACAGATCATATGTTATCGAGCCCGTCTGTTTCAAAATGTGATGAATATGACTTTGACCTTTTCAGAGTGTTCACTGCTGGCAACCATGGCCTGCGACAGATACGTGTCTCTCTGTAAACCTCTGCATTATTCAACCATCGTGAGGAAAAGAACTGTCGATGTCTGTCTGGTTTTGTCTTGGCTTCTGCCGACTTGTGAGACTGCATTGGGATGCATTCTTTATTCTAATAGCAAACTCTGCAGTTTTACTATTAGGGGGATTTTTGTAACAATTCAATTTACAATCTTCAGCGTGTGAGCTCGAGCGCTCTCTCTGTATATGGAGTGCTCATGTTGGTAAATGTGTCCCTTCTGCCTCTTATCTTCATACTTTTTACATACACCAGGAGACTTATACTATCATATCAGAATGGTAGAGAGTACAGGAGAAAAGCTGCACAGACCTGTTGACCCCACCTGTTGGTTTTAATCAGCTTTCCCTGTTTATCTGATTTAGATCTTGTTATAATTCCTCTAGGATTCAATATTCCCAAAATGACACGTTTGATATTGACTTTGCAAATAGTTTCCTATCACTCCGTCTTCAACCCAATCATATACGGACTGAACGTGAAAGAAACCTCTAAACACCTTCAATTGTTGTTGTGTCGGATCAAATCACACTAATGTTACCTGGGTTGGGCGAAGAGTTACTAAACAAAGCACAACAAGTCAGGAAATGTGTGTTTGGTAGACGACTACTTGTTTGTCACAATGCTTCTTGGCATTACATTTCATACCGTTGGAAAGCCTGTTTATTTCTCTTTTCAATGGAGCCACATTTGTGAGGAACAAGCGTTTGTGGGATGAGAAGCAGAGCTGAGTGTGTGGGTCACGCCACGAATAATGTGCCAGATCTTCTCTGCCAATGCCAAACAGCTTTGTGTTGCTGTTGACTCTTTGTTGGTGTTGTGTTGTGTTTGTAAACTTGAATCAGTTTGTTTGCGCACATAAAAGACTGCATCAAATACAACAAAGAGCAACTGAAAATACAAGTTCTTCTTCCCGCAATCCAATCTGTGTTGTCTTATTACGATAAACAATCGTAAGATGAGCAATCTTCACGATGAGTTAAAAAGAGCATTAACTTTTACACTCTAAGGTCAAGAGGTCAACATGTGGTGACAAAGTGATCAGAAATGACCTAAAGAGTGTGTGTGTGTGTGTGTGTGTGTGGGTGTGTGTGTGTGTGTGTGCCTCTCAGTAACATGATGCAATGTATTCAGATGACAGCAGTGTCCACAGAAGCTGATGTAATGAGGGTCTTTAGGGCCCCCCCCCCCAAAATCATGAATCAGCTAAATATTTTCTGTCTTCCACATAAACGTTTGGCAAATACAAAAAAGTCTAGTTTTAGTTGCGTCTCTAGGTAAGACTGGAAAGTGTGTGTGTGTGTGTGTGTGTGTGTGTGTGTGTGTGTGTGTGTGTGTCTATTAGGGTGTGTGTGTGTGTGTGTGTATGTGTGTCTATTAGGGTGTGTGTGTGTGTGTGTGTGTGTGTTTTCCTCTCAGTAATATGATGCTAAGTGTTCAGATCACAGCCGTGTCCACAGAAGCTGATGTAATGAGGGTCATTAGAGCCCCTCCCCCCTCTCCGACTACAGCCAGTGTACAAAGAGCTAATTATGACCCAGTGGTCACAGTGAGTCTCGGGGGGGGGGGGGCTCTGTTGTCACAAACACAACACACACTCACCTGAGCTGCTGAGTAGCTGAGGTGATTATCTCAGTAATTGGTCCGAGGCGGTCAACAAAAAAGGTTTCTCCTTAGTCCTCTGAGGAGAGAAACTTTGGCCTGTTAGCAACAACTTTATAAGATCATTTAATATAATACATGGTTATATAATATACAGAGTAATGCAAAATAATATGATGTAACACGTTATAATAATTAACATCAATAATAATAAAGTGGGACTTAATGATGTTTTCTGTAATCCACTCAAACATCCAAAATCCATATTAGGATTATGTTTTACTGTCTTTGTCTGTCACACACACACACACACACACACACACACACACACACACACACACACAGTTTTCATCACTTTAGGGAAACAAACTCCTCAAAAGTTAGCATTATAACTCTTCATGAACATATTTAAACTTGACATGTCAGAAAACGTGTAATGTAAAAGATAACTGTTAATGTCCGTAATGAGGGGGGGGGGGGGGGGGGGGGGGGTTTCATGGTGATATCTGTTAGTTTATTGTTTACCCTATTCTCCTGTAGTGTGTACCACATGTCTGAGTTTTATTGGTCACAAATACATTTAAAAAGCACACAGTGAAATGTGGTCTCTGCTTGTAACCCATCCTAGTATAGCTATTGAGGGCCCTCTCCCAGCAGTAGCAGTCCACACTCCATTTTTAGATCTGTGCGGGGACTTGAACCGATAACCCTACGGCAGTTATTGCACATCAGAAGTCTGGTAGCTCTGTGTACAAATGTGCAAAATAAGCTGAGGGTTGTCTGAAGATAAAAAAAGTGGACATCTCGTTTAATATCCAAGATGTACAGACATATTTAGCTGTATACGTTTTGACCTGTATGAAGACAGAACATTTGTAGATACAGCTTTGGGTCTCTAGAACTTTTGCTCAGAAAATCTAAAGTGAAAAGTAACAAATCAAATAATAAAAATCTTGATCTCTAACGAGGGGTTACGTATGGTAACCCTTGTTATATAAGCACAGGCGGAGCCCTCTACTGGACTCTATGGGTACTACCTTATCATGCGAGCATTCACCTACTGAGACTTCTATAGACGTAGCCGGCCCCGGGGCGGGCCTACCTGAATGCGCGCGCATCTCACCGTATAAAAGGAGGCCTCGCCTCCTGACCGCCTCCTACACCTCTCTTCAGCGAGCGGTATAGGACAGACAGTGCCCCGAGTAGAGGGCTCCGCCTGTGCTTATATAACAAGGGTTACCATACGTAACCCCTCGTTAAATCTCTCACAGGCTCCGAGCCCCGATGTATACACATGCTAACTGTAGCTTCCAGCTCCGTTATCCGGCCGCTATGGTCCGTAGCAGCTCGTTCAAGCTCAAGCTCAGTTTGCTCGACTTTATCTTGTAATGGTCCTATTGACTCTTTTAGTTCTTTTCGGACAGAGGTAATCTCGGAGTGTAGGCTGGAAGACAAAGAGTACATCTTGCCAATAATGTCGGCTTTCAGGGAGTCCATCATACTTTGTAAAAGTTCGGCGTCGAGTGCGTTAGCTTCAGCCACCCCTCGAGTAGCGTTAGCCGGGTCAGGCAAAGGCGAGGTTTTGCTGCGGCCTCCTCTCGAAGTCTTTGTAACTCTTTACAATTATTTTGTGTTTTTGAAGTATTTGTTGTCTTTTTAAAATAGTTTTGAGTCTCTTTGACATCTGTTTAACTCTTTAAAGTCGTCTGGTGTCTCTTTGTATTATTTCTTTGTTTCTCTGTTGTTGCTTTGTGATTATTTACTTTTTCTGTACGTAGCTCTTTTAGTTTCATTCTGTTGGTGAAGCCAAGAAGGGCTATGATCATTTAATAATTATTTTTATTTTTATAGCGCCTTTCAAGAGATCCAAGGACGCTTTACAATGGGAAATAAAACAACAAAATAATAATAGTCACAAGGATACACAGGTTATGAAAAAAATAAGCGGTTGCTGGTTACTTCATTTTAGCTGAGGCCAAAGGCCCGGGTGAACAGATGGTGTTTGAGGTGTTTTTTGAAGGTGTCCAGAGAGTCGGCATTCCTGATAGCAGAGGGGAGAGCATTCCAGAGGGTGGGAGCTGCGACACTGAAAGCCCTGTTGCCAAAGGTTTTTAGCTTGGAGCGCTGGATGGAGAGCAGCCCGTTGTCGGAGGACCGCAGTTGACGAGAGGGGGTGTAGGGCTGAAGGAGGTCAGAGATGTATGGAGGGGCTAGGGAGTGGAGAGATTTGTAGGTTAGCAGGAGGAGTTTGTACTGGATGCGTCACTTGACCGGGAGCCAGTGAAGGTGGATGAGGGTGGGGGTAATGTGTTGCCAGGGCTTAGTGTGGGTGAGGAGCCTGGCTGCAGAGTTCTGGACGTACTGGAGCCTGTCCAGGGCTTTGCTGGTGACCCCGAACAGGACTCCATTGCAGTAGTCCAGGCGTGAGGAGATTAATTAATGTTTCTGCAACGGGGTCGGGAGAGAGGGCCGGAGTCTAGAGATGTTTTGAAGGTGGAAGAACGCAGTTTTGACAGTTGACGTGATGTGGGAGTTGAAGGTGAGGCTAGAGTCCAGAGTGACGCCCAGGCTGCAAACCTCAGGGGAAGGGTGGATGGAGCAGCCATCGATGGTGAGGAGGAGATCTCCGACCTTCCGGAGCAGTGTTTTTGGGGCCACAACCATGAGCTCTGTTTTGTTTTTATTGAGTCTCAGTAGATTTGTTGACATCCAGGTTTTGATGTCGTGGAGGCAGTTGACTACTGACGGTGGGGGTAGCTGGGATGATGGATTGGTGCTAATGTAGAGTTGGGTGTCGTCGGCATAGGAGTGGAAGTTGAGACCATGTTGGCGGATGATTTCACCGAGGGGGAGCATGTAGATGTTAAATAGAAGGTAATGGGTATTTGGGTAATGGGGCCTCTGTTTGGTAGACCTGTTTAGTATCCATCCCTGTTTTCACATGGGTGTGTGTGTGTGTGTGTGTGTGTGTGTGTGTGTGTGTGTGTGTGTGTGTGTGTGTGTGTGTGTGTGTGTGTGTGTGTGTGTGTGTGTGTGTGTGTGTGTGTGTGTGTGTGTGTGTGTGTGTGTGTATTTTCAGGTTGGGTGCAAAGCCTGCAGGCAGCAGTGAGACTCGGCCCCCCGCAGCTGTAGTGACCCTTACCGCTGCAAGATGGACTATCCCTGCATCGGAACCTGTCTGATCATCAACAAGAACTTCCACCCAAGCACAGGTAGATACAACCTTTCTACAAAACACAAAGGTCTTATTTCATAGTCACTTGCACTCAATGTTCTGCATTTTTCATAATGTACACAATAAACATACAATAAGTATAAAAGAGGTCTTCTCTGATGGACTTGTACCAAATCTCGCCCTCCGTCTGTTTAAAAAAGAAAACGATTAAAAGCCTCCACCCTGTCACATCTTCACCTTTAGTAATTTACCAAAATGTCAAATTAGTTAGTTGTGTTTCACCATTTTCTGTAACATTACACACAATTAGACAAAAGACATTTGTTTGTGACTTAAACAAATGTGGAAAAAGGTGTTTTCCTTCTATCATGTTATATGTCGTTATACATCACATAAATGGTACTGTACACAACACATTACTTTAAGACATTTTTAAAAGGAACATACCGTACTTTCTCACATTTAATTATTTTATTTGCATCATATGGGACAACACAAAAGACTCAAACCAGTAAAACAAAACAAAATGGAAGCTAAAATGTCCCTAAGAACAATCATATCTAGTGTTACGGTTCTTACACATCCATTTCAAGCTCAGCATTTACAGCACGTTTCCATCTTTGCCCAAATGACTTTATATTCACCGTATATACCGCCATATTCCCCTTCGATCATTTTCAAAGTTCCCTTTCTCCCACCCGGCAAACAGCAACACCTTTTCATTCATGTCACAAGCTTCAAGTCCAACACAAGAGAGAAAAACATTAAATAATAATTAAAACATGGATCTCAATGCTTCTATAACGGAGAGCAAAGAAACGTAGGCAGCATCAACTATTTGCTCTTAGTAGGGATGCATACCGGTATCCGGTATTACCGAAATACCGGTTACTGGTGGCTACGGTATACCGTACCGAAATCAAATCCGGTTTCTTTTTTAATTAATTGTAAAAGTGAGTCCGTGGCCCGTGATGGCGGGTGTTATAAATTAGATTGTATAATCGTTTTTCTTCATATGTTATGTATTTTTCATTGTCTGTTCAATACTAGAAAGGTAAAAGTCCACAAATGAACTGTGATGGGATTTGTTTTCTCTCACCAGTGAAGGTAAATGTTGATTTTAAAGATGAGATTTGTTTGTTTGTGCAATGCCGAGATCCCATGACCTTTATTCTATTATGTATTTGTTCTCTAGTCGAATCTCAGGTTTAACATTAATTATAACGGTGCTATAATGGTCTGTTTGCATTGACAAGATGTGCTATTCACGCGGCACACCCTTGTTCTTTTTGTCAGCCTACTTGTCTCTCATATTCACTGTGAGCGTGAGAAGAGTGATCTGTGTTTCTCTTCAATGAGACTCTTTCCTGCCACCTGGCATCAACCTGGCTGCCACTTAATTTGTTTAAGTCTTTCTCTGCAGCACTAGACCAAAGTACAAAACAGTAATCAAGCTGCGACAGAACCAATGCATCCAAAACCTGTCTAGTGACATCTAGTGGCAAATACTTGTGACACACCCCTTCCCATTTTACATACATATTGCAATATTATGAGAAACCTCAAGACAAGAATGGGTGAAAGCACAAACAACAGAAGAAAATATAATAAATCACATGCGATTCAACAATTATTTCTTAAACCAAAATGCGAAAGTTATATCCCTTGAAATCCTGAATCCAAAAGATTGAAATCTACAAACCACATTAGTTGAGGTTTGTAGCTCAAGGTTCAAGGTTCTTTATTGTCAAACTAACATAGCTACAGAGTAATTATGTCGTTGAAACTCTTAGGTCACAGGCTTCTCCAACAATGCAACACAATAATACAGATAAGCAGACAATATTAAAACAATATTGTAACTGTAACAACATGTAAGTCCACGTGTGTACAGAGAGAGTATTTAGAAGCAACTCATGAGTTTATTTTGAGCCATTTGACTTCTGCACCAGAAGGTGACAGCATAGTCCCAGCAAGATTCTTTGATGTCACGTACAGTCTATAGTTACATCTCACAGGGCTGCTTTCCTGGAAGATCATTTTGTTTTAAGGTTGAACTATCTGTATTTATTTCCAACTGGTCTAAAATAATTGTGCATTAAGGCCGATGACAGGCTTTGAACCTGTTTTCTACTGGGTTTGGTTTGCTATAAAAATAGGAATGATTAAAGCAGTTTATCAGGATGGTTTTTGTAAGTCGGTGGTGACATGTTGAGCATGCAGCCTAGATGAAGCCAGAGGAACATATCAAATGTAGTTAAGAAGGCCTTTAATGAATCAAAAGCCCTGAAAAATGTACACTATTTCAGGAAGTGAAATTATTACAGCTGCATGTTTAATTAGGAACATATTTGAATCACAAACTGCAATGGTGCATTAAATGTGGATGTTCATAAACTACTGTAGTTTCTCTATTCTTTAAACATGTTCTGACATGACAAGAGATTTCTAAGCCAATGAACTGCTCCCTATGGTCAAGGTGCGCCTTGTTTCTCCCGCCCACATAGTGAGCGGCGTTCCTGATTGGCTGAAAGTTGAAGAACAATTTGACATTTCCTTATACTGTAATAATATAGAGACGGGGGCCACTGACTTACAGAGAGGTAGGTTTATTTAAAAAAACAATATATATTATAGATATGTCATTAGTTTTAAAATAATAAAATTCAATAACGTGCTTTAAAGGGCCATTTCTACTGATCATAATTCCATTGTTGAGGTATACTAAAATAGATTTATATTGTGCAATTTTCCAAACTCAGCAGACAGGGCTTCCGTGCCGGCGAAACAAATACAGCAAGAACAAGCTAAACTCATCCTGACCACACAAACACTCACAGCCGAAGTAAAAACAATAAGTGTGGCTTGATATTGAGTAAGGTTTATAACGCTGTGAGCATGGGTCTGCGGAGAGCATTTCTCCGCGATCTCAACTTAGCAGTCTGAAAAACGTTTACCCATTTAAACAGTCGTGGTAGATACCTTGTTTGTTTTAAACATCATAAATACACAAAACAATGAATACTTACAGGTTGTGTACCCGAATCTCCCGCTGGTCCAAACAAAGTAGGAACAGCATCGTTCTTCAGTGCCCTACGCTGTACATATCCGGCATGAATCGCTGAAAGGTTTGTGAAGCTTTGTGTCGTGAAAGGCTGGCAGAGGGTGTGGCCTCTGGGTATCCCCACGTCAGAGTACCCAGGAAGAAAATGAGAAATCTCCAACGAGGCGTTTTGGGGAGGTATTTTCTGTGTTAGAGTTTTACTCACTACAGGGTGTACTTTGAGGGGTTTTGACTCTGCAGACCGTTTACATGCATAAAAAACCTTCATAACACACAAGGGGACGGGTAACAACCGGTAAAGCATGACATGGGCCCTTTAACCACTAGGTGTCCCTTTCTATCAGCTCTGCACCGTTATGGTGTAAATACAGCCTATCTACCAATTGGATCAAATATAAAAGTCAGTCGAATTAGTGTTGATACTGCAAGGAGACGTATTGTGTGAAAAGAAATGTAAGATGTTGTTTCATTGCTTATATATTTATGATCCACGTCACGTTTTCAGTTTTCGCGGCAGTTCTTCATGTTTGTCCAGAAGTCTTCTCATCAGGGCTCTATAAATAGAGAACTACAGCAGATATGTAATATTGAATGCAGCCGAACCGTGTATTACAATGGAGTTATGTGATGACTTTCAAAGAGAAAAGCAAGCACACTCGGGATAAGGTATTATTTTTTTTAAATGTTTTCAGATTTCACATCGCATAAACACCAAATCCCAGTGTGCATTGCGGCTAAACCATCCAATCACCGAGCTGAGGATCACTTGCCTACGTCTGTTTCCGGTTTAGTTTATGACGGATGTATTTTGTTATACACACATTCCTTCACATTTAAATTGACATTAAAGTATTTCGTGAGGCCTTCTAACATGTTTTTAAATATAACTATGGTTGTAGTTGACCAGTTTGTAATTTAACATGAACCGAAGCTGTTGCCTGGCAACGCAATCGCACATCGTCACGTCCGTTAATTCCACATCCACACGCATGGATTAACATCGATTTAATACATTAATGTAGCCTTTGTTTCTGCTAAAAGGTGTCGACCAGCTGGGGCAACAAAGAAAATCGGCGTAATCGAGTGTGACTATTACAACAACAAAAAATTATTATATCAATATCGACAATAACAACCGACCGTCGGGGTAGCATTTGCTTGGCATTTCCGGTTATTTCTCCACTGGTTAACATGGGTTAACAATACCGTGTAACTGTCACGTTTGAAGGGACGAAATCGTGACATCTTCACGTCTCCCAGCACGGTACATCGTCACATGTTCACATCTTGCCGTGATACCGGGTTGGTTATTGCTGTCACTATGAAACTTTCAGTTGGTGCAACTGTTAAGAAATCTGAGATGAAAGCAGCCAGGACTCGTGTCAGCCAGTCCTTGTGTTTCTAATATGTTTGTTTCCATATTACACTCCATCCCTTATAGGTGAGGATATTGAATACAGTACTTTAACCTTACCCAATGTAGTCTGGTTGCTGTATTTTAACTCTTGTCTGAACCCAGTGATCTATGCCTTGTTATACCCCTGGTTTAGAAAATCTATCAAGCTCATTGTTACCCTTAAGATACTTAAATCTCACTCTTGTGATTCTAAAATACTGTAATGACGGACTGGGTTTGAGTTATATTCTAAAATAATAATAATAATAATGGGTTCCATTTATAAAGCACTTCATATTTGATTTCAAATCCCGAAGTGCTACAAGTAGTGAGCATGAACAGTATAAATAAACATTACACAACACGGTAGAATTAATAAAAAGCAATACAAAAATAAAAATCAAAGGGTGATAAAAAGGTCTAGGCAAAGGCTCTTTTGAAGAGATGGGTTTTGAGGCCTTTTTTAAAAGCCTCCACGGTCTGTGGTGCTCTCATTTGTTCAGGGAGAGCATTCCACAGACTGGGAGCAGCCGAGCAGAAGGCCCGGTCTCCCATAGTACGGAGCTTAGTCCTGGGG